AAAAAATGCGTTTCTAAAGTGCATAAACGTTTGGGATTGACTGTATAGCCAATACATCCTTAATTGCCTGCAAAGTTTTGTTGATTTCTCAATCATTATTTTCTTTGTTCATTAATTATTGAAATTAACTCGCGCCGAACCTTCGAACAATGCTGTTGTATTTAAGTTTACACTGTATCTACTGTATCAACAAACTGATTTGCATTCTATTTAATATCTCATAAATAATATATCTAATAAATAATAATATCTCAAAAATTTCTCATAAAAGAAAAAGGACGAGTCGCGCACGACTACAAAATACATCCACGTTTTCGAGAGGCTGAAGAATTGAAATCATCGCAGTGTCCAATGCGCGTTCTTTCCGACCGCGTGACTCTGAATCCATCGAGAACCTCTTTCTCCGTGTGTGCTCGCGGGACGGGGTAAATATTGCATACGCAGTGGAAACGCGCGTCTGCGCGTGCAAACCTGCGTACGTGTGTACTTACCCAAACCATCGGCATCGATGCAAACCGTCAGGCACCCCCGTATCGAAACCTTTCGATTCAATTGATCGTGAAAACCTATCTTTGTGAACGCCCGATTCGTCCAAAGCTTTCTTTCCGCTTTTTTTCTACCGTATATTTCTATCCACCCCCGCTTCTCCTTTTTTTTTTGTTTGCGTCCGCGTATCGGAATACACAGCGTGCATCCTTTGTAAGATTTCTTCGTCGATGCCCGTAACCTTGCCTCGATTATTGAACTATCGAGTATGATATCCTCCTCTTTCATTCCTTTTTCGCTTTTATCCTCTCCTTATCGCGGAATTAAAAATGAAAAGCGATTAATAACGTCACGATAATTGAAGGAAGATAAATCTATTTTTGGCTCTCGATCGGAAGAGGGCTCGTACGATGTTTCCGGTTTTTGTTGGTACCGCGCTGGGGAGATGGTAAAAGGATGGGAAAAGAGTATATGGGAGGACGTTTTATTGGCCTGTTTTTGCCGCAGAGTGTGCCACTGCCGAGAACAGGATGCGACACATGACGCTACCTCTAAATCTGGTAGCAATGTTTGGATTCTCGATTCGAGCGAACGTGAGGCTTGTAACGCAGCCTGAATTTCGGGGGTGGCATTGGTTTTCGATGTCGCACCCAGTGTACACAGTTCGTAAAATGCAGAAATAAGGGCGCCGGGACGTGCCGACGACAAAACACGCGGCTTTTCATCCTCAAGGAATTACTATCGTTTTTACCTGTCTCACAAAACCCGGTGCTTTCGATATTTACTTTTCATTTTCTAAACGATACGTCTTTTATCTCCTAAGAGGTGACTATACAAATTTTTGGGATAAACATTACATATTTTAAAAAGTATTGTATATTTTTTTTATAATAATTTTCTTCCTAATTGATCATGCGTGTGTTAATATAAAATATATTTTTGTTTATTTTTAATTATTGTCTTTTAAAATTATTAAAATAGTTTTATAACTATCTACATCGTTGCAAGATATTTATATCTGTATGGGATAGATAAAATGCTGGAACCTATGGAGTCGTGCAAACGTTTTATAAAAATTGACACTAAACGGATTACAGTAGAACGTAAAGTGGCAGTCTATTCAATTACAATCCAGTGAAGCATCCGTCGATCGAGATCTGTTTGAGCTTTGAGCGACAGTTTTCAGAGAGTTAGCCATTGATTACAAAGGAAGGTCCTGTAATAACGACACGGTGTACGTGGACGTCCAAACAAGAATTTCGATTCCGATTTTAGCAGGAAGGGTCCGGAGTATCTGTCGGCGTATCTATCGTCCGCGAATTAACCGAGCGCGAGGTTTCGCCCGGTGCACTCGCATGGCTGAATGCAGGAGGCGAGCCGCGAACAAGAGAGACGGCTGCGGCAGGAAACGGAGCGCGGGCTATAGTCGGACGCGGCGGCGGGACAGGGACAGAGGGACAGATAGAACAGAGTCGATATTACGGCTCTCGAACTATTGCTCGCGCAAAAGTTCGTTCGACGGTTTAACGGTGGCATTTCGCGGTAACTCGAGAACCCATTGTCGAATCTTCGTTGCACATCGGCCGGGATCGATCCCTGCCTACCGCGATCCTCGAAACTGGAATGCCTCTTCGAGAATCGTTTTCCCTCTCTTCCCTCCCGTCCCGTTTCCGTCTGTCCGGAACCCCGTGGCCCCTGTTACTTTCGCGCGCGCTTAATGACGTTGACTCGCTGAAAGAGTCGTTCGATTCGAGAGCGCCGGATAGACTTAGCGAAATTCCTTCAACGCTAGGAGGTACATACGATATAATTATGGATCCGCCGATTCAGCTGCCCATTGGCGTCGTTGCAGACGTAATGGAA